GAAAAAATGACTAAACGAGGTCCACCAAATCGTGGCGATATACCAGTGTTTACCATTTTAGTATGTTGTTATACTAGGTACTTATATTTTTAATACATTTTCATACAAATTCTGTTCTTTTACAGTGTTTTTCTTACTTCTGGTTTCTGCAGTGTAAATAATTATTATTATTGTGTTATTTGCGCTATTGCGCTATTATTGATATAAAGAAATATAAGAATTTTATTTTTTAACCATTTAATCCCTTTTATGGAAGAAAAATGGTACATTTAATACAAAACAAAAATGGAACAATTTTAAGGCTACTTCTCTTGAACTTACGATCGAGATACTTTTGGAAAATACAAAGTTTTGCCTTCCTAATTTTCGTTCTAAAAAGATATAATTCGTATCATTGAATAAATATTTCTTAAAAAGAACGAAAAGTTAGGCATCAAAACTTGTATTATTTCCTAAATTCGTTCATAAGAAGTAGTTTTATGTAACACAAGATGTATATACGAAGCAAAATACATACGTATACACGCGGTAGTCACAACTTCAATGTGTAAACATAATTTAAACGTAATACACAAGCACTGTGTATCCTACGGCACACTGTGTATCCCTTATTTTGTGTATACGTAAATGCTATACTGTGGCTACATTGTGAGGCGGACGTTTAACCTTTGTGCATACGTGTTGAACTACAACGTGTAAACGTAGCATATTTACATCGGGGAAATTGTGTCACCCTGTGTCTACATCTAATAATGTAAACACATCGTAAATGTGATTTGATGTGCTGTATGGGAAGTATTATCATGCCGTTTAAGAGGATTTGAAAGGGAAAGTAGTTAAAAGTCTTAAAGAGTGACAAGCAAAAATGTAAAAATACTATTTATTTTGTTGCCTTCAAATAAATTGCCATAAACTAATATTATTTAGGTTTAATTAAGTGCAAAAAAGAAAAAAACAGTTCTTTTTACCACAGATCATACAGATTATAAACTTTGTTTTTTCTTTATTGTTTTTCGTGGTTCCAATTTTCGGAATCGGGCACTAGTTAGGTTACTAGTTTGCGCACATAGCACGCCCACTTATAGCCTCTAAAATTGTGCATAGCGCCTGACCGGCACAGTTATTAGGGAGATATCGGAAAACCGAATAGCGTCATGCAGTATTTACGCGTACCTTATCATGGTTACGATATTCGCGAGTCAATTTTTAACGCAACGCCCGCGCCCTCTAATAACGTTACCGCCTGACGTAATTTGCGGATCAATTACATCAAGCGCTATTTCTAAATAACGTTTAAAAATTGCTTAAATGGGTATGTGCGGGTATTTGACAACCGGGGCCGGCCGGCGAAATCTTTAAAAAAAATAGGTTATGTTTGAATTGTTTTGAATTATTACTTTAGTTTTATTAGGTAATTTGATATTTAAGTAGCTGGAGTTTAGTTTTAATTAAATAAATATGGCTCAAAATATGGATTCCACCTCTTCCAATATTAAATAACCTATAAAGAGGCTTAGGTTTACAGCAGATGACGACTTAGCCCTTCTAAGAGAATTTGTTGCTTGTTGCCCTAAACCCACTGGCAGACGTTGAACAATAAAGCACTGGAAATAAGCACTTTAGCCCTTTAGTTTTAAAATAGGTACCTAGTAAACAAAACAATTTCAAAGTTTTAAATTCAAAGTTAGGTTAAGTTTAAATAGCAGACGCGACGCGAACATAATTCTTTCCGATCCGATAACAAATGAAGAGAGTTAATACCACCTAACGTAAAGGAAATAACACCTGGCCTTATTAACGTCCATGCACGCTATTCGGTTTAGCGATATCTCTCTATTACGCTGTTTATTGTTATTTACGCGTGTTTATTTTTGCGCACAGGAAATTTTACTCGTTTGCACATCGTCATAAAAAACAATTTTCGAATTAGGGATAAGATTTTTATCTGTATACAAATAGTATACTGTTTAATCTGTGTTTTTACCTTCTTTTCGAACGTCCATTACAGAAAAGGCAACTATCTATAGGCTCGTCATCTTGAAAATGCACTTTTTTGCTTTTTTCTTTATAATTATTCAAGAGTACAGTTTTATTTGGTTTTTTATGTTTTATTATGTACCTGAATAAATGTACTAACAGATGAAATTGGATCTTTTTTTTAAACCCGTTTGTTCGTGTTTTGGAGCCTTTTGTATTTTACTTCGCCAACTTGCCCCGATCTCCCCTAATGACTTATCTGGGAACCACTGTGCAGTGTATATATCAAAATAATATTTTCCCAAATAAACAAATTTACAAAGTACCTTTTCCTTAAAAAAATAAGAATCCATGTCTCTTTATAAACCTTACAACGCGATTTTTTTGAAAAAAAAACTTATAAAGGATATCATTCCCCTTACAAAACTTAAATTTCCCGATTTTCCACGAGCACGGCAACTTTCTTAGGAAGCCTTTAAATTACCTGACCGCAGCATTATTTCTCTCCCTTTCTCTCTTTACTCTTATCCGCCTGAAATTTACATGAACCACGCAAAGTTCTGGAAATAAATTTTGAAAGGAAGCCGCCGGAGCCGGTACCGAGAGAGCAAAATACCGAAATTACTAAAGACGGACTACAAACGACGTCGAACAATAGCAGCGCCGTTTGACGTCAGAAATGGGGTTGCTTTGCATTGTGGGGTCATCAGAAAATCATTCATATCACTTGGCGGGCATAATGGGTTCGTCGATGACTTTCCAACTTCGGCGGAGGCGAGTCATAGTCGGCGGTAACTTTTTTCTTCGATATTTTTTGTTCCCTTATTTAATTTCACAATAGAATTACGTGTCGAATATGATTACGAGACATTATAAAGATAAATTTACCTTTGTTATTAATCTATAATAATTTATCTTCTGCATTAACGATCTAAAAAATGAGAATTAACTACTTATAGTCGGATTTACGAAAGATGACGGTTACATCTTACCCTTGTATATAAGAATATATAAACAAGGGTCTTACCCTTGTCTTTAGCTACTAAATATTCTAGTAAATTAAAAAATAAAGTATTTTCTGTGGTATGGCGCTGATAATTTAGAATACAAAATGTTCTGTTACCGATATACGTACATATGTATAGTCCAGGTAAATGTACAGGGTGGCGCACCTCATTCGCCTCGGTTGATTATACGAAACTGGAAAGATGTAGAAACAAAATATTTTATGGATATACCGAGTGCGTTTCAAAACTGGCTCACCCCTATAACTTTTCTATTTTTTAGATAACAAAACGAGATTTGATTTGTTAGTATATGACATAAATTAGGATTGATTGGCGTATTCAATTTTTTTTGGTCACTTTCTGTTTCACCGAAAATGACTACAACTTTTGATTTTTAAATAGCACCCTCGGTATATTTTTCTTTATTCGATAGAAAATTACACTCTGAATAGAATGACGTATCATATGTCAACTTTTGACATTTTCGCATATGGTTTATTTGAAATTGTAACATGCGGTTCATAACGACAATTTGACTTGACTGAAATGCCAAATATTGTATTTGAAATAACGATGTTTTTATGTAAAATAAATAATTAAAATAGATCAGCAACGGCAATCCTGTATAAATTTAATAAAGCAATAAAAATTTTCAGTACGCAAGGTATTATTGATAATCTACATACTCTATCTCAAAAACCAAAGATTTTAAACATATTTCACCCTTATAATAAATGACTTTTTTTAAGCCCAAGAATCCAAATATGCGAAATAAAAAACCGGGTGTTCTATTATTAGAAAAAAATAACTATGGTATGGATCTTAGTTTTGAAACACCCTATAATACAAAATAATTTTTAATTGTACACATTGCCTCCCCCCATATACTCATAAAATACTTTGTTTCTACATATTTCCGTTTTCGCGTATAATCAACCGAGACGAATGAGGTGCGCCACCCTCTGTATATAACAATTCGTTCGGATGGTGACTTATATTTCAAAAACCACTCGGATATAGCATATTACATTATAGTAAATATTTTTGGAACGGAAATTTAGTGGCAAATCCATTGAGCTAAAAATTAGATAGTATTCCATTTAGAAATATACAACTTTGTCTTAAAAATATGTTTGAATCACCCTGTATGTTGATAAAAATATTTTCAAAATATGCGTTACCATTGACCCCATATCTAAAAAAATTGAAATGAAATTCACAAACCAAAAACTTAATATAGAGCTTTTTCGGAAGCCTGAATCACCCTGTACTTTCTTCGAAATATTAAATAAAAATAGAGTTATTTAATTAATAATAAATATTTTCACAATTACCATTCTAATTATACATAAAAATAATTAGTCTTCTTCTTATTTATATTCATTTTAAATTTTAAACCTGTAAAAACCTATTCCAACTCGACAAAATGGTGAATGCGCCGGTTAAAATAAATATCTTGAGCTATTTTCTTTTTTCTAGATAAGCCTAACGATCAAAGAAACTGCAAAAATAATTCAAAAAATACTTGATTATCCATAATGGGAGAGATTACCATACAAGATCAACACAATGCCTCAAGCATTAAGGCATCAGCATGTAATAAAATCTCTAGATGTGTTTTACACAAAAAAATTTTTTCAGTCAAATGCTGATTTATTAAGTTTTTAGGAGCTTATTCAGATATAAATTTCAACTTTTCAAATTAAGATTATTTCAATAGTTGTTCTTTCTTTCTAAAATATTTGCCCCTTTCTGCCTTTTCAAATATATTTGTGCAATCACAGTAGTTTATGATCAAGTAGGCTTTGACTTTTGACTTAAAAATACTATATGATAAAAAAAACAGCGTCAGAGACGGCTTGGGAATGAAGACCAGTCATTTTATATGATATCGGCGATGAAAATGGGAGTAATCGATTGTTATCAACTGGACGCCGATTTTTTTTTCGATCGCTGACTGACATAATACAATATCTGTATCTACCTGAACAAAAAATGGTAAATAAAATACAAATGTAATAAAAAATAAATTTAATTACTAATATATTCAACAATCTGTATGTCATACCACCACTAGTCAGCAAAAAAAATAGATCTGATAAGTAGATCCATTATACTATAATTTTTAGTTATTATAACAACAAAAATATCAAGTTTTAAAATATAATAGCAAAAACTTGTAATAAACAATATATATAATGGCATCAACAACATAAAAAACAGTACAAAATCTACAACAGTCATTCAAAATTCAACCGGGTACAGTCACAATTTTGAATTTAATAATGCTTTTTGTGAGCCAATCCAAAATGCAAGTTTGTCACCTCATTTAAATTTACCAATCAAAGTAATACTCCAAATCGTCTTTAATAGAATAATCTTTTGTGTAAAAGAAAAACTGTACAATATTATAAATTCCCACGCACTGTAAAATCAACAGAACACATTCGGCCACTACAGTCATCCCCTTATACTATGCTGAACTCAACTGGGACAGTCGCTTGATTTGTTTTTTGGTTGATTTTGTCAAAACGCTTGATAGGTTAGTTAAATTTTTAAGTAAACGTTGTAAAGACTTCTTCGTTGGTTTTATATAATATTTAAGGCCTAGCTGTTTTCGTAGAGCATAATTTTCTGCTGCTTGTAATTTTTTGTAATAACTTAAGAGCTGTGTATCCTCTAAGAGTGGACTTTGGATAGGAACTGTTTGTGCAAATCCGATCTTTACAAGACTTTCTCCGACATTTAGTAACTCAGGTTTATTCTACAAAAATATGATTATAATACATAATTAGATCTGATAAAAACATATTTCAATACCTGTTTAGTATCCTGAATTAATAATACTTCGCAATGAACAAAATCTTCGTGCTTTACAACAGGCACAAATTTTATTTCCCTTCCAGCCACGATTGCTTGTAACCAATTCAACCCTAGCCCAGTAACATTAACTCCAGATATTTTCACTGGCAATTGCCCAGAAGATATTATTGGTATATTAACCAGAGGTTTATGTTCTACCATTAATAATGCACCATTTGGATCTATTCTCTTTACCAAACCTGCCAGTTCTCTTTTTTCTGTTATGAAATGATTGGGAATATCTTTGGGCCGTTTAAATTTGCTGAACTAAAATATTAATATAGTTAGTATACACACCTTTCTCCATTATAAATAAAAAAAAGACTTACAGGTCGAACTTTTCTTAAAGCAACAGTTAACCCAAAAAGAGCAATTGAGTAACAACCAATCTAAAAAATATATATCTAAAAATATATGAAAACTAACTTATAGTTTTCAAAAACTTACGTGAACTCCTTTTATATCCCTATCCACAAAACTTGTAAATCGGTTAAATAAAATTTTTACTTCTTCCATTGCTCTGATCTCGCTCATTTTATTTACCAAAAAAAACAACCTAAAACCTAAAAATAATTATTACTACAAAATCAAAAATAGCACTTATGAAATACTGTGCCACCAACCTGTTTGAAATATTTGTATTATTTATATTACATCACAAACGAAAAGGCACGGAGATTTTAAATACCTATATTATTTTTTAATTTTGTTTCTGTTTCAGACTGTCTCTGTCAGGTAAAATCATTTAGGTGATTCTGATGATCGCAGATAACTTATAACTGGTGATTTTATATTGTCCAGTTCTCTCTTATAAGTTACATAAATAAAAGAAGCTGAAACTATTTTAGATTACTAATGTTATCTAGGTCAGTAAGATATTTAAATGAACTCACAGAATGAACTTCAGAAGTTTTTAAATGTCAAACAGCTGTGATTGGCATTTGTTGGCAGTTGGCATTTTTCCAAAATTAGTGATGGGCACATATCAAATATAGATGGGCATATATCAAATATCGATATGAGTAGTTCAAATGAATATAGGCCCAAATATTTAATATTCACGTTCAACTCCACTTATGAAAAATCTTAAATTTAAATTTAAGTATAAAGCTTTGTTAATACCTCCTAGTATATTCATAACTTTTTATATTTATAACATTTTCCAAACATTAGAGAAATGGTTCAACGAAATGAGACGCAAAACCCTTTATTTTGCCTTATTGTTTGCTTTTAATTATATTATGAAAGAGTAAATATAAAACAAAAATATTAACAAAAATCATTTTCACTTGTTCAATCTATCACATATAGAGCTTTTTCAGCTTTATTTACGATAAAATTTCTTAAACTGACGGACAAATAAAAAATTAATATATTCCTTTATTAGAATATGATAATAATTATTATTATTTTGTGTTCTCCCTTACATAAATTCATAAATAAATAAATTATATTATTGGTTCTTGATAAAATGGTGAATGATAAAAATATAGGAACTTCTCAATCCCGATACAATCCATTATGTAAAATAAAAATATCTAAAATTTATCACATCTAATTTAAATTACATGTTTAATAATAAATATTAAAATATCTTTAATATAGTAACATGTCTAAGATTAAATCTGACTTTCAATCATATGTTCTCATAATCCAAATAAATCAAAAATTAATCTATACTATTTAAATATGTCAAAAAATATCGTTTAATATCTTGTTAATATTTATTATATGCAAATTATTAATATATAAACTGAAAAATATATATAAATTTTAATATCTAGCCACTTTAAAATTTTAATTAATATAGAGACCTCTATCCACAACATCCGCAAGTAAAATTATTGACAATTTATCTATTTAGGTTGGCAACAATTTTTTATCGATTATTTTTGTTACCGCCCAACCCTAAATGCGCAACCTACCTTTAAATTTGAAATTGTCTACGCATCAAATTTATTCTGTCAATTTAGTGTTTTCGACAGCTGTCATATCATCTGCAAATTACGAAGTTGTTTTCTGGCCAAAAATATTCTGTAAATAGTATTTTTTTCCGGAATAATGTCGTATGCATATTTGTTTAAATACATAATTATTGGTGATACAGGTAAGAACTAATAATAACATTGTTAATTATTCTATCACAAAAATATGTTACTTTGTTCTTGAAGTTCTTTTAATCAGTTTTATGGAAAATGACTTCATCAGACAAAGACAGATTTTTTTAAGTTCATTATTTGTTAATGCGTCAGTGTTTGTACACAATGCTATTTGTTGTAAACAGTATCTCACCTTATTATCACTTCTGCCTAGAATTTTTAGGCCTATAGTAAATTAACAATTTGTGTCCATATTTACTCATGGATTGTCTTACATATTTTTAACTTATCTTGATACACATATGTGCAGCAATTTGGGCTTGAACTTGAGCTTAAGACTAACTAGAGTTTCTTTTAGGTGTAGGTAAATCATGCCTACTTTTACAATTCACTGATAAAAGATTCCAGCCTGTTCATGATTTAACAATTGGTGTAGAGTTTGGTGCTCGAATGATCACTATTGACAGTAAGCAAATCAAATTACAAATTTGGGATACTGCTGGACAGGAAGCTTTCAGGTAAATAATTATATTTTTCTAATGCATTAAAATGCACTAATTTGATGTTTTATACTTTGTTTTCTAGATCAATTACGCGATCTTACTATAGAGGTGCTGCTGGGGCTCTTCTAGTTTATGACATTACAAGAAGGGAAACCTTTAACCATTTGACAACTTGGTTAGATGATGCTCGACAACATTCAAATTCTAATATGGTAATTATGCTCATTGGAAACAAAAGGTATGTACCTAATATAAATTTCATATTGAGTATGATTTATGAAGATACTTTTTATTTGATGTGTGTAAATAGGACATTTTTATTGTTTTAAACTTATTTATGGTTTGCTTTTCTGAGTCTGAGGTGTGAATCAGACCTATCAAATTTTTCAATATTTAAATGCTGAGATTTCGTAAATTGTATTGTTTATGTTAAATTTTTAGATAACTATAAAGTATCTGAATTCTGTGTGAAATTTTAGGTATTTATTTAATTTTTTATTTGCACTTTAAAGTGAATTTATTACAAAGCCTTGTTATTTTTTCTATTATATTTAAGAGTACAGCTCTATGGAGTACAGGGTGTCTCATTTTTGTGTGTTTTGCAGGGTTTCTCATTTATAGTACAAAGATGCGGTTTTCACATTACCTTGCTACTTTTTTATGAAACTAAAGATGCTACACAGAGTTTCGTCCTAACCCTCTTTGTTCTTAAAATACAAGGCATACATAGTTAAATTAACATCATTCATATTAAATTTGAAATTGTTGCATTTTTCTACTCTCTTCATAGTATCTCAGTTATAACTAATGGAAAAGATGAAAACTGAGTTTCATAGAGTTTTTTATGTAGAATTCAGTGGCATAACTAGTTTTTCTCTGGAAGCTGTCATTCTTAAAATATGACCCAAACTTATATTTTCTAAATGGGATTGGGATACCCTGTATATTTTTTATTTTATTTGTTATGAGCTTTCTAAAAATATACTATACTCTATTTAATAATATTATTTTTCTTTTTTATAAACAAGATAAAAAATAAATTATTTAACTTTTTAACATACTAAACCAAACCAAACCTATAACTTTTTTATTTTTTCAGATAAAAAAACGAGATTTGGCATGTTACATAAATTAGGATTGATTGACGTATTCAATTATTTTTGGTTTTGGTTACTTCCTGTTTCACCGAAAATGACACTCTGAATAGAATGACAAATTATATGTCCACTTTTGACATTTTCACATATTTATGGTTTATTTGAAATTGTAACATGCGGTTTATAATATTTTGACTCGAAATACCAAGTGTGTAGTATCAAATTATTTGTAAAAAATGATTTTTTCCCAATATGCTAATGAGCTACCCTAATTCCATTTTAAAAATTTGAGACATTAAAAATATGATTCAAGCATCTTTTAACTGGCCAAGACAAGACAAGAAAAACATTAGATGATCAAATCTATTTTTCCAATATTCTTCTTCTATAGAAATTAGTATTTTTAACACAGACATGACATTCTAGATTGAAACTTTAAATACAATTTTTTAAGCGAAAATGTCAAAAGTTGACATATGATATGTCATTTTATTCAGAATGTAATTTTCTATCAAATAAAGTATAAATAAACCGATAGTGCCATTTAAAAATCAAAAGTTGTAGTCATTTCCGGTGAAACAGGAAGTGACCAAAATCAATTAAATACGTCAATCAATCCTAATTTATGTCATATACTAACATGCCAAATCTCGTTTTTTTATCTGAAAAAAATAAAAAAGTTATAGATGTGAACCACTTTCGAGAAGCACCCGGTATAGGCGGTTGAGGTAATCAAAACTACTCAATAATTTATTCTACAACAAACTTTGGTTAGTTGGAATAGCCACACTAGTTTCCAGCAATTCCACACTAGTTTTTTTGTGTGAAATCATTGCCCAAGTGCATCAAAAATATCAACTCTGATAGATAGGATGTTATCTAAAAGCAGCACAAGTTCATTTTAAGTGCATGAATTATGAAGATAATACGAGGGAGAGCAAAATTATCTGGTTATAAATTAAATTAAATAAAATAATAATACATTTTCAAACTAGGTTGATTGCAAAATAAAAACACTAAATCACCACAATACACCAAAACACTTTTACTTTTACACTGGACGCGCGTTTCGCTAACCATGTTAGCATCATCAGCAGATGATTATAAACTCAGTAACTCAATAGGTTGATTATTTGTTAAAAATTTAAATAATTCATTTTTTACTTTGTTTATGAAAATAAGTATAGGATATATTATATTTTTAGAGTAAGTATATTTTTAGAAAGCTCATAACAAGACAAATCAAATAAAAATAATATACAGGGTGTCTCATTTAAAAAAAAAACATAAGTTTGAGTCAATTTCGAAAATGATAGCTCCCAATGAAAAACTAGTTACGCCACTGGATTCTACGTAAACTACTCTACGGGACAGAGTTTTCACGTTTTTAATAAGTTGTAAGATAACTGATACAAAAATGCAATATTTTAAAATTCGCCCTCTAGTTAAGAACCTAAGAAGGCTAGAAAAAATCTGTGTATTGCATCTTTAGTTTCAAAGAAAGTAACACAGTGAGTGAAAACCGCATATTGTATTTCTACTCACAAACGTGAAACCCCATATAACTATCTGTAGACATAATATATTTTCTAAATTATATACGATTTACTAATAAATATTTTGTTATAACAAATTTAATAATTTTAAAATAATGTTTTAGTGATTTAGAATCAAGGCGGGAGGTAAAAAAAGAGGAAGGTGAAGCTTTTGCTAGAGAACATGGATTAGTTTTTATGGAAACATCAGCTAAAACTGCAGCCAATGTGGAAGAAGCGTTCATTAATACTGCTAAGGAAATTTATGAGAAAATACAAGAAGGTGTTTTTGATATCAACAATGAGGTAAGTTAAATGTACTGTTGCAAAATGTTTTATATTTTGGAATCTAAAACACAAAAAAGTTATATGTTTAATTTACACAAAAGATTTTTTTTTCTTTGAATTATTTATCACATGGTAGTATAATTATACCGTGTGCGTCTCAAAAGTACCCCTATAACTTTTTTACTTTTTCAGATAGAAAAACGAGATTTGGTATGTTAGTATATAACATAAATTAGGTTTGATTGACGTATTCAATTGTTTTTGGTCACTTCCTGTTTCACCGGAAATTACTACAACTTTGGATTTTTAAATGGCACCCTCGGTATTTTTTTACTCTATTCGATAGAAAATGTCACTCTGGATAGAATGACATATCATATGTCAACTTTTGACATTTTCGCATATGATTTATTTGAAATTATAACATGCTGTTCATAACAAAAATTTGATTCGAAATACCAAGTGTGTGGTATCAAATTATTCGTGAAAAAATGCTTTTTCCAAATATGCTAATGAGCCACCCTCGATTTGAAAAAATTGAGATATGATTGAAAATACGATTTGGGTATCTTTTATCTGGCCAGGACGACACTAAAAAAATTATACGATAAAATCTATTTTTCCAAGGCCTCTTGATTAAAAATTAGTGTTTTTAACATAGCCATGGCACTCTAGATTGAAATTTAAAATACGATTTTTTATTAAGCGAGAATGTCAAAAGTTGGCATATGATATGTCATTCTATTCAGAATGTCATTTTCTATCGAATAAAGTAAAAATATACTCAGGGTACCATTTAAAAATCAAAAGTTGTAGTCATTCCCGGTGAAACAGGAAGTGACCAAAAACAATTGAATACGTCAATCAATCCTAATTTAGGTCATATGCTACCATACCAAGTCTCGTTTTTTTATCTGAAAAAATAAAAAAGTTATAGGGGGTGAGCCACTTTTGAGATGCACCCGGTATTATTAAAAGTAGTCTGATTATATTATTAGTGACAATTACCTATTAATAATCTTTATTACCAAGTGACATTTGCCTATAATAGCAATATCTTAACTTTAAAGGTTTGCATATAAAAGGTTTTATTGACTATTTGTTATTTTATTGTCATTTATGTTACATGTTTACTTTTTGAATAATTAAACAAATTACAGCAAAGCATTATTAACATTTACAAATGACACTTGAATTAAAAATGTTCTTTTTATATTTTTCTTTCAAATTATAATCAAAAAATTATATTTATATTATATTTTATTTCATTATTAAAAGTGATTACTCTGTGCGTATCTATATGACTATTTGACTATTTTTTACACATATTTTATTAGATTGAAATATAATGGGACTTTACTAGTGGTAGCATTTATAACATTTTCCAATTTACTAAAAGTTGCTAAAAGTATGGAAGATAAGCAATATACGTTATCACCTTTATTCATTATTCATTAATGATATATACACGTATAGTAAGGAAAATAGGTCTTCAGAGTGATAAAAGTGGTTTGTTCTAATGCTAGAAAAAGTTATAATAGTGTCGCGACCTAGCTGGGGGTTGTTTGCTAGGGTCGCTATACCAGGTTCTCTCTCTCAATCAAAACAACCATTGAATAAAATATTCATTTATTTAATATAAAGTTCACAGTATAATACAATTTTGGGGAATGCCAAGACTTAATGGTTTAGTTAACTAAGTACTTACAGGAACATCTTCAGTCTGCGCTGTCTTCTGCTAACGGACCGATAACGCGAATTACTGACTGTATAATACGACTCACATCGATGGACTAACCTCTCGACTCTCTTTAGCATACATTTTTATATTTTCTATCCCTCGTGGTCATCGCCGGTTACGTCGTTCAATCTGTTTTCGTCTGGTACATTCGCGGCTATGACCATGAGAAATCGAACTGGTAGCCTGCGTTTGACTGACGAGATTGTTGTATTTTAATTGTTTAATTATCAATGTTATTTAAAAAACATATGTCAATGTCATGCAGGTAACCGATCTCTTGAGCCTATATCAAATTGGTTTACTCGAATTATATTTTTATTTACTAGGATTATATTATTTGTGTTTTTCCCCAATTTGATCTAAACCCAAGATTGACATCTATTTAAGTCTTGACATATCCCCGGGCGGAGAGCTGGTCCCCAGCGATAAAAAATATTCTATAAAGACTTAAATAGGAAACACACAATAAATTCTTTACAAATACAAAATAAAAGTTAATTACAATGCTACAGTGATCCTGAAAGTCATGAAAATAAAAAAAAATATTTTTATCGTTCACTCTTTAGTCCTGTACAATAATAAGGGTCCTACTCGATACCACCCGTATTGAAGAAGTGCGTCGTCCTTGTACGTTGCCTTCTGTTGCGTCCATTTCAACCATAGATTTTAACCGTAGCTCATATCAGTTAAGTAATGCACACCATAAAATAATAAATACAAGAAGAAGTGTCAAGTCAATGTTAAATTATGGAAACAGCGTGGCTGCCTGGGTAACTAATTTTCAGATATGGCGGCTGGGACATTTGACATGATTTGACATGACATAGACACTTCATTGACACGACAATTTCAATTTTATGAAATTTATTTCCCGTTTCAGTTTTTGATGGCGGGCTGTTCAGGAGGTTTAAATGAGGGTTAATATACTTTTACTTTTTCTAGTAGTAAAATAATACAACAAAATTACTCAAAAATATTTATTTGGAATTTAGAACAATGTAAATATACAAATCAACACAATTAAAGAGCTATAAACCTATAAACTACTGTATCAATATCAAAATATTTAAATAACATCAGAGATGCTGTGAAATTGAAATAGTAAAGTAACAATGCACTGACTTACAGAAACTTGAAGATAAATAAATGTTTTCACAGCTTCACGGGCGTAAAACTAACTGGAAGCAAGAAAAAAGACAACAGAATCCATGCAAAACCTGGAATCAAAAAAAATATGTAAAAAAAAAAAACATAAATATAGGTACATAATAAGACTGTTGTGAATTAAATCAAACAGGACTTGAATGAAAATAAAATGAATAAAAATAGCAATACATATACATCTAATACCTCATTTTATTAATTTTAAAAGTAAATCACATACATAGCATTATGAAAATACACCAACAGGTACCTATGTGATATGTAAATTACGCATTTCTGTTCATCTTGAATAATTAATGTAAGCTAATAATAGTTCAATAATCATAATTTACGCTTGTGTAACTTGCTTTCAATTGCTCAAAATCACCGATCAGTCTTTAAAGTAGAGATACGGAAAAAATCCTTGGTAAAATATCAGATCCTTGGATCTAAAGCTAAAAAAAATAAAAACGTTAATATCTTACCTATTTTTACATATAATGTGGCCCATACCTACTACACGCAGAAACGTCGATTTCATTATTTTCTTCATGTGTAATTAATACCATATATACTTTATTAAAGTGTTAACGAGACTTTATATATCAAAAACATCTTTGTACTTATAAATTTCAGACGAAATATCATAAACAAACTTCAATCAATCTAAAACGGCAAAAAATTAAAATTCTTTACAAATACAAAATAAAAGTTAATTACAATGCTACAGTGATCCTGAAAGTCATGAAAATAAAAAGAAATATTTTTATCGTTCACTCTTTAGTCCTGTACAATAATAAGGGTCCTACTCGATACCACCCGTATTGAAGAAGTGCGTCGTCCTTGTACGTTGCCTTCTGTTGCGTCCATTTCAACCATAGATTTTAACCGTAGCTCATATCAGTTAAGTAATGCACACACCAACACTGCCTTTGCCTTTGTTTGACTGGTTGCCTTCTTATCTATCGCATACTTCTATTCGTCCGCGCGCTTGGTTTCAATGTCAAACGGGCGACGGCCTTTTGAAATTGCTGGAATCAGCGGAATACTGGACAATTATTTTTCTTTTCTTCATTAGTGTACTGTTTTCATTCGAGCCAAAACAAAATTTACTTGTTAATATTTCTTGGTTTTCTGGCTTCTCTGCGGTATTATGGGTTCAGTGGCTTGTTACTTCAACCATCCAAATTAGTTTTTTCTCCAGGCTGGTTATTGCTTCCATATCCGTATCAAAAATTTCCATACATCTCCAATCCATCGGAATTCGAGGCAAAAAGGCGAGCGGCGTGTTTAATATTTACTCAACTGAACAGAGCTTGTGATGCTGGAAAGTTTCATCTCACTGGTGTAGTTGGTACGTGTTTCCAGACAGCAACTCATTTCTTCCTCCGACTTCTTAGTGTTGATTGTGGTATCGGCAGGTGTGATACAAAGATTCATGAAGGATTAAAGAGTAAGTACTATATTTTATTCACATCTCTAATATCTAAAACAGAATAACATTTACGTTATCAACTATTCTTATTAGTTCCCTATTAAATATGTACAGTTTATGTTTGTCTTAAATATTTTTTGAATATGCATTTGCTCAAAATATATATATATATATATATATATATATATATATATATATATATATATATATATATATATATATATATATATATATATATATATATATATATATATATATATATATATATATATATATATATATATATATATTAAAATTGATAGTTCTAATTATTTGCTTAAGTTCCTTATATTTATAAAAAAAAATAAAGATTTAAAATATGACTTTACTTATTACTATTTAATTAGTCGAGCTAAGCACTTTGTATTATTATTTATATTTAAAAATAGCCTCCAACTATTTGTACGTCAGCAAAAATAGAAACGTAAGTATTTATTATAACGTTTACATTTTCTTTTGATTTAGGACGAAGGAAAAAAAAATATATATATGGCGAAATTCATCACATTCTTTCTTGAGAAACAAAAATCGTTACGTATCTTTTTAATTCTGCCTACTACATTACATGTCCTTTATCTCCTAAGTGGTGAAAGATTGTTTGGAAAAAGTCGCGTGGCTTTTAATAACATGTTTTGTCAACATGGAAACATATACAATAAA